CAACAAATGGATGGATAAACAAAATATGGTGTGTGCACACAATTGAGGATTCAGCCATACAAGAATGGAATTTGGTCACATGCCGTAAAAAGGATGAGCCTTGAAGACATATGCTAAATAAATCATGCTAGTCCCAAAAGGACAATAACTGTATGATTCCACTTACATGAAGTATTTAGAGTAGTCAGATTCATAGAAATACCAAGTTAAATAGTGGCTGCCACAGATGAGGGAGTTACTGTTTAATGCATACAGAGTTTCAGTTTGGGAAATTGGACAGAGTTCTGGAGGAGGGTGGTGGCGATGGTTGCTCAACGATACGAATGTACCTAATGCCACTGAACTGTATGTACACTTAAGTGGTTAAAATGATAGATTTTATGTATATTTTACCACAATAGAGGGGAAAAACGTAGTGGATTAAAGGCACGTAATGACAGTGTTAAAGCTATTACCGAGTGTAAGTAATGCAGTTTTGCCGAGAGAGCATAGGCTTTAGAGGTGGAAAAAGTAAAAGGGTTCTCAGAACATGGTCCCCAGAGCGGCAGCATGTCATCCGCAGCTGTTAGAAATGCAAGTTCTCTGGTCCCTTTTGGATCAGAAACTAGGAGTGGAGCCAGAAATCTGTGTTCAACAAGCCCTCCTAGTGATTCTGATGAGAACCCTTGATCTAGTCTAACCATTGCTTTAAAGAGAAAGGAACCGAGGTACAGAGATGGCATCTGTGTCACAACTCCTCAGTGCATCCTGTGGTCAAATACCAGACTGAGTGACTGGAGGACTGCTGAGCATGGTGACTGGTGAGTAGAGGAGATATAACCAGAGGTCTTGTTAATGCTAACGTGGTATCCTGCTTGTCAGGGTGCAGCAGTAAGCACATGGTAGGTGTTTTCAAAACAAATACAAATAGGTTGACTTTTAAAATCTATCTGGAAAGATTTCACGGAAAAATGGGGCTTAGATTTTAGAGCTCAGTTTCACCACAACTCTTCAGAGTTTTAATTGAGATTTATCACTGTCAACCTTTGTTACTTTCCCAAATAAGTCCTAACTCCTCGTCTCCCATGGGCTCTAATGATATTTCCTTAGGATAAATGTATAGGTTATTTTTAATGAATCCTACTGAATATAAGATTACCTACTTTGCCTGTAATCCCAGCACTCTGAGAGGCCACGGTGAGTGGATAGTTTGAATTCAGGAGTTTGAGACCAGCCTGGGCAACATGGCAAACCCCGTCTCTACTAAAAATAGAAAAATTAGCCAGGCATGGTGTTGCACACCTGTAATCGCAGCTACTTAGGTGGCCGAGGCAGGAGAATTGCTTGAACCCCGAAGGCAGAGACTGCAGTGAGCTGAAATCACACTACTGCACTCCACCCTGGGTGACAGTGAGAGCCTGTCTCAAAAAAAAAAAAAAAAAAAAAAAAAAAAAAAAGATTGCCTACTTTATAAATGTTTATGTATGTTTTATGAATGCTTCATACACTGGGCAACCCCTCCTCCGTGAACATCGGCTCCTGCGACTCCACCCTCGGGCTTCCTCTGACTACTTCGTCTCTTTTACAGCATCCTATTCCTCTGCCCACATCGTTAATGTTAGGCTTCCCCAAGGTTCCATCTTGGACCCCATTTTCCGTGAGCGTAATCTCACCCATCTCCCCTATTTCAGTTACCATTTATATGATGGTAGCTCTCAAACTGTTTTACTCTTCCTCAGATGTATCCTAGACTGATTTATCCTCTTGCTAACTGGTCTGTTTCTAACATTGCCTTCTGTACACTAAAGTCCCTCAGTGTCACCAGAGTATTTTTGTTTTTAAATTCTAATAGCACGTAATTTAGAAAAAATATAATGTATGAACAAGCATTATCATTAAATATGGGGGAGGAGAGACTACAAGACACCACAAAGAAGCAATTCACCAAACCCAAAATGTGGAACATTCTATAGGACAAATGATGGGGTTTCTTCAACAGATGGAAGGAAGGAGGGAAAACGATGGTGGATAATTTTTTTTTTTTTTTTTTTTTTTTGAGACAGAGTCTCCTTCTGTTGCCCAGGCTGGAGTCCAGTGGTGCAATCTTGGCTCGCTGCAACCTCTACCGCCCAGGTTCAAGTGATTCTCCTGCCTCAGCCTCTTGAGTAGCTGGGATTACAGGCATGCATCACCACACGCAGCTAGTTTTGTATTTTGAGTAGAGACAGGGTTTCGCCATGTTGGTCATGCTGGTCTCAAACTCCTGACCTCAGGTGATCCACCCACCTCAGCCTCCCAAAGTGCTGGGATTACAGACGTGAGCCACTGTGCTCGGCCAATAAAAATAAATTTAAGTGACAAACAAAATGCAACATATAAATCTTGTTTAAATCCTCACTCAATCCAGCAATAAAAAGAAATATTTGGGACTATTGGGAAATTTAAATATGGACTACGTATGAAGTAAGGAATTATTACAGATTTTCATAGTTGTAATAAAAGCATCATGATTATGTAAAAAAAGGACTATATGTTAGAAATGCATACTGGTATGTAAATGAGATGAGATTGAACAAATATTAGTAATTGTAACTAGCTATTCAATATTGTTCTTTATATATTTGAAATTTTTCTTCATAAAAAGTAAAAAAATGAGGCTGGATGTGGTGGCTCACGCCTATAATCCCAGCACTTTGGGAGGCCAAGGCAAGTGAATCACAAGGTCAGGAGTTCAAGACCAGCCTGACCAACATGGTGAAACTCCATCTCTACTAAAAATATAAAATATAGCTGGGTATGGTGGTACATCCCTATAATCCCAGCTACTCAAGAGGCTGAGGCAGGAGAATCACTTGAACCTGGGAGGCAGAGGTTGCAGTGAGCCAAGATCACGCCACTGCACTCCAACCTAGCAAGACTCTTGTCTCAAAAAAAAAAAAAAAAAAAAAGTAAAAAAAAAGTAAAAAATGAAAGGGCAGGTCAACTAAAAAGGAAAAAATAAAAATAAGGGAAAAAAAAAATCTTACTATCCTGGGAATTTTTGTTTACAGAACCAAAGGCTATCTGGTGAAAGTCCTTGACTCCAGCAATCAATCCTGGCAACAAGTCTGAGTTTATCTCATGCACACGTCCTTTGTTTCTCTGCAACACATATGAAGCCCTCAGATGGCTTCCTAAGGACAGGAAGTTGTGGGGGGTTGTTTTTTCTGTTTAAAGCACTGGTTCTTAGCAGCACTACCCTGCAGTGAGACAGCAGAGTCATCCATTGCTGCCATCAAACCACAACTTACCAAGCTAATGGTCAAATTCCCTGTGTCCCATTAATGTTAGTCATAAAGCAGCTAACTACAGTTTTAGATCAATGGAAACCCCTTGCTGGACCATAAACGCTGTCCTTCTGGGGACCATTTGTACCTTTACTATTGTCAAAAACAAGTGAATTAGCATGGCACCTGGCCCCAGTAAGCACTGATGTTTAATTGAACAGACATCCTTGGAAGAAAGGGGCCATGATCATTTGAATGTCACTGAAATTGGTTTAAAAATTGTGCTGAGAAGCCGGGCTCATGGTGCCCCTGTAGTCTCAGTTGCTGGAGAGGCTGAGGGAGGAGGATCCATGGAGCCAAGGAGTTCAAGGCTGCAGTGTGCTATGGAGTGCATATAAATAGCCATTGCACTCCAGCCTGGGCAACATAGCAAGACCCCACCTCTGAAAAAAAAAATTGTGCTAAGAGATTATGGAAACAAGTTCAAGGATAACTTCCCAAAGATACTATTCCTTTTCCAGTCACCAGGATTGTGGTTATTGGGAAAAGTTACACAGATAAAAGCAAGTGCAGGAATAATAGAAGCCCAAAGCATCAAGTCAAAGTAAGATTGGAGTAGGAAAGTTGTGGTTTCCCTCAGACCCTTGTATCACACAGTATTTTTTTTTTCAAAGAGCGACTTTTCCCTACCTTTTTATCCTTCCCCTTTACATTATCTTCAGTGATAGTGCTTGCTAATTCTCAGGAGTCCACAACACTGCAGAATGTCAGGGAGCTAGCAAACTCCAAACCTCTAATTCCTAAGGCTGTGTCGGTGACATGGAATATACCATGTCTGTGACATGTAATATACCGGTCCCTACATGTGCCCTCCTTTGTCTAGAAGTGAAACTTTAGTAAATGTTGACATTTAATTTTCCAGAGTGTTAATGAGTAGTTTCTAATTTTAAGCTCCTACCCCATCTTAATACGAGAATTAGTGAAATAAATCACATTAAGCCATTTTTTAATTTTGGGGACAAAGACAGGATGAAAACATGAGGTATTGCTACTTGAATTGGTAAACACCTGGGAGGCAGATGTTGCAGTGAGCCGAGGTCACGCCTCTGCACTCCAGCCAGGGTGACAGAGCCAGACTGTCTCAAAATAAATAAACAAATAAAAATTAAAAATGAAAGGGCGAAAACCTTGTTTCTTGTTAAATCTTTTTTCTTGTAGGAGTTTTGAGGCCAAAGACCATAATGAAACAAACTCAGGAGCTTATTTCGAGAGAATACTGTCCCTGTCCCACACCTGTCCTTACTACTTTGTTTTGTGTGCTATTGTAAGCTCCTCGACCATCTGACCAAGACAGTTTCAGCTATTTGGCTTTATCCATTCTCATTTAGTGTGCAATGCTATGGCTGCAACATTGTGAAATCAATTCCAAGAAGTCACAAAGCAAGAATTTGATGTGAAGGGATGTCCCTCATTTAGAGTTCCCTTCAGGATAAGATACTGGAGGTTTCATTGCAGGGAATTCTAGAGAGAAAACAATAGGAGGATGAGGGATTATGAGGTTGGTTTTTTTTTTTTTTCCTCCTAAAGAAAACTGTCAATAAAGGAACCTGTTGACAGTGTAAAGCAGTGCTTCTCTCTGGGGCCAAGGCCAGAGCTGTGGACACCTTATCCAACTCATCCTCATCCTCTTCCTCTGATAACACCCCTACCAGTGCTGATAAAGTCTTTCTCATGAGAGCCTAGAGGCCTTTAAAAAAAAAAAAAGTGCTTGAAAGAGAAGGGGACAAAGGAACACCAGTATTAAGAAGATTTTCCAGTGTGTTTCTGGCGGTTGGTCCAGAAGGATGACTCCGTTTCTGCTTCTCATCTGCCTCTTCATCACAGGCACCTCCATGTCGCCCGTGGGTGAGTGTCATGTCAAGAACTTGGGACGATGCACTTTTTGTTGTGGCAATTTGTTATGATGTACAGATGATTAAGAACTAGATTCCAGTACCTTAAATGCTAGCTCTAGAAATGTGTAATAAAAGTACCTGGTAACCCTTGAAAATAGATTTCCAGAGAATTTCTGTTACAGCTTCCATTTAGCCTCTTGCCTGGACATCCAAAATTTCCATGGATCTGCCATATCCCACTGCTTTCCACTAGCTAAATATTTCCTGGAGTATGTGTAAAAAGAATTCTAACTTCTTTGTGTTCTAGGCACTTTTATAGTTCCAACTGGAAGAGAAAAAAAAAAAAGATTTTTTAAGTTGAGTGTAGAGTTTTTCTTTAATGAAGGCAAGGGACTGAAAGGTCTGTTGCCATGAGGGACACAGATCTGGATAAACCAAACTCGTTAGTCTTTATATCTGAAAATAAGACTTTTTGCACAGATTGAGTGAATCCTAAGTTGTCTCTGTCCTCAGGCTTGATGCAAAAGTGGCCAACCAGGCAAAGAAAAGTTTCAGTTCCAGTTACTAACAGATTTCTCTCTTGCCTCTTTTTCTAGTAGAATATAAGTGGTAACTGGAAGAGCAGGTGGGAGGTGAGATGGAGAGAACCATCCTTGACACTTTTGAGTAGCTTGGTATTTAGTAGCTCGGTATAAACCAGTTAGCCCTGGATTATTTTTTTATGGTAACTTGGGCCTTGCTCTAGCACCTTAAAGGATACACATTAAAAAATAGGCTTGGGGCTGGACGCAGTGGCTCATACCTATAACCTCAGCACTTTGGAAGGTCAAGGCTGGTGGATCACCTGAGGTCAAGAGTTCGAGACCAGCCTGGCCAACATGATGAAACCCCATCTCTACTAAAAATATCAAACCAAAAAAAAAATTCTCTGGGCATAGTGTCGCATGTCTGTAATTCCACCTACTTGGGAGGCCGAGCGGGGAGAATCACTTGAACCCGGAATATGGAGGTTACCCTGAGCTGAGTTCACACCACTGTACTCCAGCCTGGGCAAGAGAGGGAGACTCCATCTCAAAAAAAAAAAAGAAAACTGACTTGAGATCCTAAGGAGACCTGACACCTCAATGTAATGTGGGATCCTGGATGGGATCCCGGAACAGAAAGATATAGGTAGAAACTAAGGAAGTCTGAATAAATGTGAGCATGAGTTAATAATAAGGTATCAGCAGTGGTTCATTAATGCAACAAAGGTACCATGCTAATGTATGGCTAAAGGTAATGTGCCATAACAAGGGAAGCTGGGTGTGGCATATATGGCATCTCTTTTGTCTATCATCTCAACTGTGCTGTAAACCCAAAACTGCTCAAAAAATATGCTCCAGCTACCTGTCATTAATCACCTCATATCTGCTGCCAGTAACCCAAGGGTCACTCAGAAAGTTGTCCTCCCAAAAATCTCCATTCCCCTTTCTTTCCATCTATTCTCCCTCTAGTACCTCCTGTATCCCCCGTTCTTTTTATTACCCTCACCCTTCCCAGACTTTTCTCTCCCACCCCCAGCACACAGCATGTCAAGGATGGTATTTGGCTCAATGACAGAAGCAAGATAAACAGGGAATTTTAGGGGCTGGGGTTGGTGCTTACCCTGGGAGGAGAGGGGAAGTGAGAGAAGAAGGAAAACGAGGAATGGGGAAGGGAGAAGCAAAGCAGGGCGATGAGGGAGGAGGATGGAAAAGGAGGGAGCAGGAAAGAGGGGGTGCTTCTCAATCAAGCTCAGGCACAGGGTTCCAGGGGGCTGAGATTCAGGGGTGGCTCTCTGTAGGACCTGGAGGGTTGGAGGACACAGCCTTGGGGCGAAAGGGTGGGGATACAGACATCAGTTCTCTGCCCTTGGTCCTGCATGGTCCTGGTGGAAGAAGCCAGAGGGACGCTGGCTAGCGGGCCTGTTAGCAAACCGTTGAGCAGCTTCTGGTAGGCCAGGAAGGAGCCCACAGGGCTATTCTTTTTGAAGCCGTACCACTGAGAAGTATAGATCAGCAGTTTAGGATGAATGTGCACAATACCAGATTCTGTGCTTCACACTGAGATTGAAAACAGGATATAAGACCAGGGGCCAGGCTATTAGATTAGACTGCTGCCTTCAAAGTGGGTACAGTGGGATGGGTACATTTAGTGTCAGAAAGTATTGGATGGTTAACTTTTAAAAACATATATGTATTATTTAATTAGGTTACAGAAGATGGTAGATAAATTTCTCCTCCTCATGCCCTATCTCCTCTGCAGCAGGGAAGGAAGTGAACTTTTAGTAAACAGCCCAAGAAATGACATTTAACTTGAAGGAAAAACTTTATAAATCAGGAAATAGTTACTGAGAGAGGTTTAGGAGTTTCTGCAGAAGCCATTAAAAGTTGAGTATCTAACCATTTCTTATAAAATTAGAGACAGGGAGAGGAACCAAATATTTCTGTGACTATAATCACCTGTGAAATTACTCTGGAAACCTTGCTTGTAAGAAAAAGCCACAGCTGGGAGAGCAGAGGAAGAAATTTGTCCCTTTTGAGGGGAGAGAGAATATGAGGATATTTCTTCCCCTTAAAGGCTTGTGGTGCAGGGCTCAGCTGAGATACATAAGGGACATTTTAAAGAAAGTGGGTTGCTTTCGAGAAAATGCAATATCCCACTTTTTTCTTGTCTCAAATTGCCATATTTTCTTAGGGGCCATGAGCAATGGGCTACACCTTTCTCTACGTGTGACTGAAGTTTAGAGAGTAAACTTAACTTTGAAATGTAGATAATGTAGATTAGAAAAATCTGAAGTATATTCTAGACAAGTTAGATTTAGTGATCATGGCCCATTCATATTTAATTGTTGTGTACTATTTGCTAATACTGAATTCCCTGCCCACAAAATATATTGGCCCTAATGTGAATTCCTTGCCTATGGTATCAGTTACGTAAGTCAACCTCTGTGCATTAAGAAGGATAATATAGTACTCTCTGGCCAATGCTCCTTTCTAGAATTTCTTAGTTTCATAGATTCTTCTAAGGACAATTTACCTACATTAATTCACTAATTAGTTTCCCTGGAGTTAAGGGAAGCAATGAGAATATTGGAGATATTGGTGTCTTTAGTCATTAAAATGTTCTTTTTCTATCTGTCTGTCTATCTATCTATCTATCTATCTATCTATCTATCTATTTATTTGAGATGGAGTTTCACTCTCATTGCCCAAGCTGGAGTGCAATGGCTTGGTCTCGGCTCACTGCAACCCCCAGCCTCCCAAGTTCAATTGATTCTCCTGCCTCAGCCTCCCAAGTAGCTGGGATTACAGGCACGTGCCACCATGCCTGGATAATTTTTTGTATTTTTAGTAGAGACTGGGTTTCACCATGTTGACCAGGCTGGTCTTGAGCTCCTGACCTCAGGTGATCTACCTGCCTCGGCCTCCCAAAGTGTTGGGATTACAGGCGTGAGCCACCATGCCCGACCAGAATGTTATTTTTCAAAGTCTTCACAACATGCAATGAAATGTTTTGGATGAGATATTTGTCCTTGTAATTTATGCACTAAAAATATATGCCTGAAAAACTTTGCTGTATACAGCTAGGATAATAATGCCATGGTTAACTGTGAATACACAGGATTCTTGATATTTTCAATAAGCTGGTAGAATATATACCAGAATTTACTTTGAGAATATTCCTGGTAACTACGTGCTATTATACTGTGTATTTCAAAGTAGGTAACACATGCCTGAGGTCTTTTCCTTTTTAGTGGAATGAGCCTTACACATTCCTTATCAAGTCAAACTTTCTAGTAATGCAAAATTTCACCTATAATCTTTACAAATGGCCAGCCAAATGCTCTTTTGAAAATTTCCAAGGATTGGAAGCTAACTGCACAGTGACACAGCCTCTCCTATGACTGGATAACTGAACTGAAATATGCTTTCCTACTATTTGTTCTTGTTCTTGTAACAGAATAGCTAATTTCTGTTCCACAAGCCTATTACAGATTTTTTTAAAACCAATATGCATTTTCTTCAGTCTTCTTTTTCCCAAACCATAATTCTCAACTTCTCCAGTAAATAATTTTTAGGACCCCTTCTAAGTTCAATCAACTTTCTCTGAACAAGTTTGTCAATTACTTTTACAAAATACAGTCTCTGGCTGAGAGCTGGGTTCATGCCTGTAATCCCAGCACTTTGGGAGGCTGAGGCAGGAGGATCACTTGAGCCCAGGAGTTCAGGACCAGCCTGGGCAAGATGGCGAAACCCTCTCTCTACCAAAAAAAAAAAGAAAGAAAGAAAGAAAACAAAAATTAGCCAGATGTGGTGGCATGGGCCTGTTGTCCCAGCTACTTCAGAGGCTGAGTGGGGAGGATCGCTTGAGCCCAGGAGGCAGAAGTTGCAGTAAGCCATGATTATACCACTGCACTCCAGCCAGGGCGACAGAGGCAGACCCTATCTCAAAAACAAACAATAACAATAATAATACAATCTCCAGTTATGAATGAAATACTCAGAATATGGTCTGACTCATTCAGAGTTCAATGAGTCTTTAATCCTAACCTCCCTTGGTCTGAATAACTATCCTTCTATCAAATAATTACTCTGGATAAAAATTTAATTCAATGCTAACACTAAACTTTAGGTTTGAAATGCTTTTGAAATAGGTATTTATGCAACATGTTTAAATCAACTTGAGGAACCTTAAACAGCTATTTTTTGCAACCTTAACTAATTTGTCTCTTGATTCAAAAACATTTAAATGCAAGACCAAGAAGGTGGACTTGGGTTGTTGGTGCTGTGATTTGAAACACTCCAGGTACTCTAAGGTATCTTTTTCATTTCCAGCCCTAGATCCTTGTTCTGCTTACATCAGCCTGAATGAGCCCTGGAGGAACACTGACCACCAATTGGATGAATCTCAAGGTCCTCCTCTGTGTGACAACCATGTGGATGGGGAGTGGTACCGCTTCACGGGCATGGCAGGAGATGCTATGCCCACCTTCTGCATACCAGAAAACCACTGTGGAACCCATGCACCTGTCTGGCTCAATGGCAACCACCCCCTAGAAGGTGATGGCATTGTGCAACGTCAGGCTTGTGCCAGCTTCAATGGGAACTGCTGCCTCTGGAATACCACAGTGGAGGTCAAGTCTTGCCCCGGAGGCTACTATGTGTATCGTCTGACCAAGCCCAGTGTCTGCTTCCATGTCTACTGTGGTCGTGAGTACCTTCCCTGTGCTCTTATTCTCTGCCAACAAGACCATGGGTGAAGTCCAAAAGTGCCACTTATATGAAATGCAGTTACAGTGACAACTATATCTCAGTCTGAACAACATTGATGTGGGGCCAAAGATACCTCTAGATTGTGATTTCTGCTATCTCAGAAGTTCTTAGAACTTCTGAAAAATTCCTGAAGAAATAGGAGAAAGAAGCTATGACTTTGTTTAGTTCTTTTTAATTTTATCTGAATTCCATTCAAACAAAACATTAGAAAATGAAACATTGATTTAGGTTCTCTAAATAGTGAACTTCCAGCTTTTTTGAGTATGGAGAACACTCTTTTAAGATCTCTATTTTGATTAATAGATAGGTAGTCAGACATCCATATGGTTGGATTGTGTTTAGTGTCCAAAGATTTTTTTTAATGATATATAATGGGAAGAAGCACTTTATGTCAGTAATACTTTTAATTTCTGTGTTATTAATCCAATCAATGTCTGTATGCATTTTAAAAATAGAGCACTGGAAGAGCAGAACATAACACTTTTCTAGTCTATAGCTCATATGCGGTGAGGTTTTAGATTTGCAGAAACTCTAGGGCCACTCATGGGCCTATGGATCTGAAGTTGGGAATCACTGATCTAGATGACAGAAGATGCCCTAGTTTTTTGTTTTCCATTGGGTTATATAAACCCTGAACAATGAGAATTCCCTCGATGGTGTCTGGAAACTCATCCCCCCAGGCTGCATTTATGAGGCTCTCTCAAGAAGGAGAGGGTCAGCGGTATGCAATGGCTCATGCCTATAGTGCCAGTTACTTGGGAGGCCAAGGTGGGAGGATTGCTTGTGCCCAGGAGTTCAATGCCAGCCTGGGCAACATAGGGTGACCATCCCCCTATCTCTAAAAAGAATGAAAAAGAGAGTGTCCTCTGGTCTCCTCCTCTCATGAAAGATAATCTTTATCCTTCCGTAGATTTTTATGACATCTGCGACGAGGACTGCCATGACAGCTGCTCAGATACCGGCGAGTGCACCTGCGCTCCAGGAACCGTGCTAGGCCCTGACAGGCAGACATGCTTCGGTAAGAAACTCAACATAAGGTAGAAACAGGCTATTAGGATCGAAAAGAGAAATCAAAAACTCTTTCTGCCTCAGAGCACCATTTTTTTCCCAGTTTGTGTCTTCAAACACTTGGAATGGTGTTTGCTTTTTAGTTTATGCCTAGACTGAAAGCCCCATGCCAAATTTGTATCATGATTAGGGACAGTGGAGAATTGTGCCCTCTACTAGAGTTGCTACAGGTGGCCATGGAGCACTTGAAATGTGGCTAGTGTGACTGAAAAACTGAATTTTAATTTTATTTGATTTGAATTTTAAAACTGATGTTTGGCCAGGCACGGTGGCTCATGTCTGTAATCCCAGCACTTTCGGAGGCTGAGGCAGACAGATGGCTTCAGCCTAGGAGTTCGAGACCAGCCTGGGAAACAAAGAAAGACTTCATCTCTACAAAAAAAATATGAAAATTATCTGGATATGATGGCATGTACCCATAGTCCCAGTTCCTTAGGAGGCTGGGGTGGGAGGATCACTTGAGCCTAGGAGTTCAAGGTTACAATGAGCTGTGGTTATACCACTGCTCTCTAGCCTGGGTGACAAAGCAAGACTCTGTCTCTAAAAATAGTATGTTTAATACTGGTTATATATCAAAGTGAAAATATTTTGCATATAATTGGGTTATATAAAATATATTATTAAAATTAATTTTCTTTTTTAAAAATTTTAATGTGGGGCTGGGCATGGTGGCTCACACCTGTAATCCCAGCACTTTGGGAGGCCGAGGCAGGTGGATCACGAGGTCAGGAGATCGAGACCATCCTGGTCAACATGGTGAAACCCCATCTCTACTAAAAATACAAAAAATTAGCTGGGCATGGTGGCGCATGCCTGTAATCCCAGCTACTCGGGAGGCTGAGGCAGGAGAATTGCCTGAACCCAGGAGGCGGAGGTTGCGGTGAGCCAAGATTGCGCCATTGCACTCCAGCCTGGGTAACAAGAGTGAAACTCCGTCTCAATTAAAAAAAAAAAAAATTTAATGTGACTACTAAAATATTTTAAATTAAATATATAACTTGCTTTATATTTCTGTTGGACAGCACTGGTCTAGAATAATCTAAGGACTTATTCCTCTAGCTTCACTGTTATAATTTTGGTTGTTCTGAGCCGCAAGAAATGTGAGTGAGATTGTCTATAGGAAATCCAGAATTGTTGAATTGTGTATTATGTTGTCTATAACTGGAAGAGAACAGAGATGAAAATCTCAAGATTGAAGATCATCTCTCTTTCTCTTTAAGGTTATGAACCTTTTTGGATTCAGACTCAAATAGATTTGAAACAAATCTAGAGAGAAAGGGAAAGATTGCCTTACCCTGGTCCCCCCAAGAAGAACAGTAACAGGTCAAGATCGAGGTAGGAGATTAAAGTGAAAGGAGCATGAAAGGCTTATTGGTTTTTGTTTATTTGTTTGTTTGTTTTTGAGACAGGGTCACACTCTGTTGCCCAGGCTGAAGTGCAGTGGTGTGATAGCTCACTGAGGTTTCGACATCCTGGGCCCAAGTGGCTTCTTGTTTTAGAAAAAATTTTTCTCTTCAATCTCTTAAGTGAGCCAGGTGCAGTGACTCATGCCTGTAATACCAGTGCTTTGGGAGGACGAAGCAAGAGGACTGCTTGAGGCCAGGAGTTTGAGACTAGCTTGGGCAACATAGTGAGACCCCATCTCTATAAAATAAAAATAAATTAGCCAGGTGTGGTGGCAGTAGCTGTAGTCTCAGCTGAGAGGTGGGAGGATTGCTTAAGCCCAGGAATTTAAGACTTCAGTGAGCTCTGATTGCGTCACTGCACTCCAGCCTGAGTGAAAGAGCAAGACCCTGTCTCTAAAAAAAAAAATTAAGAAATCAATAAATAAAGCTCCTAAATGAACCCACTGACCATCCTGTGGAGCATGTTTAGGCCCTGCCATAGGAGTTGTTGGGGATCTCATGTGGTTGATTTTGAGTATGTGATTTAATGCTAAATGACTTGGGGTAGGGGCGATAGTGGTTCTTGAAGTCTCCTCCTACCCTCATATATTTCCGTTCAAAACTATTTGGCTTTTTTTGGTTTATTCATTTCTTTGCTTTTGTTTTAATGTAACTTTTAAATAGGTAATACATTTAAGTGGTTCCCAAATTAAACAACATAAAAAGGTATACAGCAAACTGTCCAGCTCTCAGTCACCTTCTTGGTCCATTTCCCTCTTCCCCAACTCCATCCCAAGGAAGCAGTTATATTATTTTCTTATGTGTGCTGCTTCCAGGGTTTCTATGGGCAGATTTAAAAATGAATACATGTACATATATTAGCCTGTTCTCATGCTGCTAATAAAGACATATTCAAGCCTGGATTTATAAAGGAAATTTATGATGTAAAGAGGTTTAATTGACTCACAGTTCCACATAGCTAGGGAGGCCTCACAATCATGGCAGAAGGTGAATCAGGAGCAAAGTCACTTCTTACATGGTGGCAAGCAAGAGAGCTTGTTCAGGGGAACTCCCATTTATAAAACCATCAGATCTCATGAGACTTACTCACTACCATGAGAACAGTACAGGGGAAACTACGCCCAGAATACAGTTATCTCCTCCTGGCCCCACCCTTGTCACGTGGGGATTATTACAATTCAAGGTGAGATTTGGGTGGAGACACAGCCAAATCATATCAATATGTTTACTTATTGGTGAATTTTAAACATTAAATGTAGCATATCATATACATTTCTTCCTTAATTTATCTTAGACATGTTTGTCTATCAAAGCCCCCAGTTCCTGTGTGGGGTCTGTGGGATTTTAGGGAGATTGTGAATCCTCTGAAACTATAGACAGAGTTTTGTGTTTGTAAGCATGTGTCAATTTTCCTTTAGTTTTTATTTAAACATAATAATTTTAATGATTTGTTTTAAACTATATAATTTTTTCAGGGAGCATACAACAAAATAATATAACAGAAACTCATATACCTATATTTAACTATAGTTCACTTTTACTTCCTTTTTTTTGTTTGTTTGTTTTTTGGTTATTTGGGTTTTTTTGAGATGGCGTTTCACTCTTGTTGCCCAGGCTGGAGTGTGATGGCACAATCTCGGCTCGCTGCAACCTCCACCTCCTGGGTTCAAGTGATTCTCTTGCCTCAGCCTCCCAAGTAGCTGGGATTACAGGTGCATGCCACCACGCCCAGCTAATTTTTTGTATTTTTGGTAGAGACAGCATTTCACCATGTTGGCCAGGCTGGTCTTGAACTCCTAAAACTTGCCTCAGCCTCCCAAAGTGCTGGGATTATAGGCATGAGTCAACACACCCAGCCCTTTTTCGTTTAAATAAAATTTTGTAGATACAAGTAAAGCCATCCCATTCCATCCTGCTTTCTTCTCTCTTCCTCCAGAAGTGATCATTGTTTTAAAGTTAGCATATGATCTTCTGGTCCCATTTTTATGCTTTTATTATTTATGTATGTACCTATAACAATAGATAGCATTGTTTTGTGTGTTCTTAGAATTAACATAAAAATCATACCTTACCAAGTGCGTGAGATTTTCTCTAGCAGGTACCCATAAGAATGGAACTGCTGGGGCATAGAGTATCTGTCTTCATTGGCTATAACAATAAACCCCCAAATAATTATGTCTTAAATAAGTAGAAGTTTATTTCTCTCTCATATTAAAAAAAAAAAAATCAGTCCAAGATAATCAGTCCAGGCTTGGAATGGAGGCTTCTAAGGGACCCACCCAAGCATAGGTTTCACCACGTCCATATCCGGGAAGGCTGTGAGCCTCTAACCATCTACTTTCCAGGCAGTATAATGAGGAAAGGGAAAGAAGGGGTCCTGATAAAGATTCTTAATATTATCAACTACATTTTGCATTTCTACAAGTTCTACGTGTTTGTTTTCGTGTGTTTTCAGTTCTGCCTTATCTTTTTACACACTGATTATGGTTATTATCCTTTCTTTTATCTTTTTACTAATTCTTTAAATACTTGTATTATGGATTTTTCTGGACAATTCTGTTACTTCCAGTTCAGAGCCTCCAACCAACACTCTCTCACAATGGATCATTCCTCATGTAAGTGTCTTGCAGCAAACCATCTTCTGTTGTGGTTGTTTTTCTGTAGGATGCCACTCTTGTCATCTGATATCCTTGCCTGTTTAGTGTTGCCATAAAGGAATACCTGAGTCTGGGTAATTTATAAAGAAAATGGGTTTGTTTGGTTTATGATGCTGCTGGCTGGGAGACTGAGCATCTGGTGAGGGCCTCAGGCTGCTTCCACTCATGGAGGAAGGTGAAGGGTGCTGGCATGTACATCTCATGGCAAGAAAGGAAGTGAAAGTGAGAAGGGGGAGGTGGCAGCCTCCTTTAAACATACTGAGACTAATCTAATGGAGCAAGAACTCACTCATTTCTGCAAAGATAGCACCAAGCCATTCACAGGGGATCTGCCTCCAAGACCTGAACACCTCCTATTAGGGCTCACCTCCCACACTGAGATCAAATCTCAATATGAGGCCCAGCACGGTAGCTCACGCCTGTAATCCCAGCACTCTGGGAGGCTGAGGCAGGTGGATCATGTGAGAGCAGGAGTTCATGATCAGCCTGGCCAACATGGTGAAACCCTGTCTACTAAAAATACAGAAATTAGCCAGACATGGTGGCACACGCCTGTAATCCCAGCTACTCGGAAGGCTGAGGCAGGACAATCTCCTGAACCTGGGAGGCAGAGGTTGCAGTGAGCTGGTATCGCACCACTGCACTCCAGTCTGGGCAACAGAGACTCTGTTTCAAAAAAAAAAAAAAAAAAAAAAAAAAAAAAAATCTCAATCTCACTATGAAATTTGGAGGGGTCAAATATCCAAACCATAGCACGTGGTTTGAGGAAGTTTTACACAGAGCACTTTTTCAAATGCTCCCGTTGGCATCACAAATGCTTTATCAGACCAGGCCAAATTTTTCATCATTCAAGATTCCCCATACCATGTGTGAAGTATAAAACCATACTTCAGCCGGGCGCGGTGGCTCAAGCCTGTAATCCCAGCACTTTGGGAGGCCGAGGCGGGTGGATCACGAGGTCGAGAGATCGAGACCATCCTGGTCAACATGGTGAAACCCCGTCTCTACTAAAAATACAAAAAAAACTAGCTGGGCGTGGTGGCGCGTGCCTGTAATCCCAGCTACTCAGGAGGCTGAGGCAGGAGAATTGCCTGAACCCAGGAGGCGGAGGTTGCGGTGAGCTGAGATCGCGCCATTGCACTCCAGCCTGGGTAACAAGAGCAAAACTCCGTCTCAAAAAAAAAAAAAAAAAAAAAAACCATACTTCAGGCCGGGTGTGGTGGCTCACTCCTGTAAACCCAACTTTGGGAGACTGAGGCAGGTAGATCACAAGGTCAGGAGTTTGAGGCCAGCCTGGCCAATATGGTGAAACCGCGTCTCTACTAAAAACACAAAAATTAGCCGGACACGGCAGTGGCTGCCTGTAATCCCAGCCTGTACTCGGGAGGCTGAGGCAGGAGAAGAGAATTGCTGTTATTCCCGAGGGCCATGACAAATTTAACTCCCGGCTTCCTTTTCCTTGTTTGTAGAAAGAAAGGTGTAGAATTTGCTGTCAACTGTGCATTTTTTACCACAAGAGTCCATACCCTTCATCAGATTCTTTGAAAGGTTAGCAATCATTGCTTAAGTAGAATGTGAGAATATACTAATTTAAAAAACAGATTTTGAGGGTAATTGTTCATGTTATAAAAGAAAATTGCCTCATAAAATATTTTATCAGCTCTTTCCTTCTGTAATATAAGCTCCTTCATGACTTAAAACAATTTACTTTGTAAGTTTGTATTTATTTAGCAACTTCTCAGGAACTCATTGGAGAAAGTGAAATTCACCAGTACAAATGAGTAGGTGTACCCAGGACACAAAAGGAACTTCATTTTCCCATAGTTTTTTCCTGAAGAGAAGGGAATTGGCAAGCAATTAGGTACCTTCCAGTCAGCAAAAGGCAGATTGGACCAATAATGTGGTTCAGGAGATCAGGTGGATGGAAGTGATGATACTGGATCACAGGGGAGCTGGGTGGTGGAAGGTGCATCAACAGGATCTGAAAAGATGTGGAAATTCTGTCCGGGGGCTTGGGAAAAGGCTGAGTCGCTCAGCAGTATGGAAATGGTGTGGTTTCTCTTCTGCAGATGAAAATGAATGTGAGCAAAACAATGGTGGCTGCAGTGAGATCTGTGTGAACCTCAAAAACTCCTACCGCTGTGAGTGTGGAGTTGGCCGTGTGCTAAGAAGTGATGGCAAGACTTGTGAAGGTGAGAATGGGCAAGAGGGGACCCAAATCGAGAGCTCAAGGGAAGCCACTGGCTTATTCTCTGATGTTCAGGAAACTGTCTTAGAACCTGAAGAGAGCAACAGTTTGGCTGTGCAAAGAAATGAAATAAGCGGTTCATCAACACTGAGAATGCTCACACTGGACAGAATTGTGTGCTGATTTTGTCTCTAGGATTTAAGGGGAGGGAATTTTGCAAGAGGCAGAAAGTCACATTTTCATGAGAGAAATAAAAATAGGGTGTTCTGGCCAAGTGCCTGAAATCACAGCACTTTGGGATGCTGAGAAGTTTGAGACCAGCCTGAGCAACATAGTAAGACACTATCTCTACAAAAAATTAAAAAATAAAAATTAGCTGGGCATGGTGGTGGCATGCTTGTAGTCCCAGCCACTCAGAAGGCTGAGGCGGTAGGATTACTCAAGCCCAAGAGTGAGCTGTGATTGCACTACTGCACTCCAGCCTGGGCAACAGATAGAAAGTATCTCAAAAAAAAAAAAAAATGAGTGGGGATATTCGGCATTTCTCAAACTTTAAAATGTGCCTATGAATCACTTAGGATCTTCTCAAAATGCAGATTCTGATATAGCAGGTCTGAGATCAGGTCAAGATATTACATTTCTAAATAACTTCTAGGAGTTACCTATACTGCCGGTCCAAGGAGCACACCTGGACTGGCCAGGTAATAGAGGCAGTAGCATAACCACTGGCCGACAGCTGTGTTTCCCCAACTTCCCTGCTGCTGAGAAGCACCTGGGGGCTTTTACGCTCAGCCCCTCCCAACCTTCTCCTGGAGCCTCTGCTTTAGAGGAGCTAAAGTGAGGCCTTGGGGTTTGTGTTTTTAACAAGTTCCACGGGTGATTTTTATCATCTTGGAAGTTTGAGAAACTGGTTTACATGAAACCATTTCCTCTCCTCCCTATATGCTTTGTGTTTATGGAAGATGAATACAGTTTGGGGTGACAAATTTAAAAATCTATTTTAATTATTTTATTTTACTTTTAAATCTATTTTTAATAGCAGACATTTTATAGGACTATACATTTTATATAACTAATAACAAAAAAGAACTCATAATGTAGATCAAATCATTAAAATAAAAATTGCCTACCATTATTATATGAAACTTAGATAATATCCCTTCTCTAAGGCACATTTACCCTTGCAAATTGTCACTACTAAAATTCCATCACTTCGGCCAGGCACGGTGGCTCATGCCTGTAATCCCAGCACTTTGGGAGGCTGAGGCAGGTGGATCACTTGAAGTCAGGAGTTTGTGACCAGCCTGGCCAACATGGTGAAACCCCGTCTTTACTAAAAATACAAAAATTAGCCAGGCATGGTAGCAGGCGCCTGTAATCTCAACTACTCGGGAGGCTGAGGCAGGAGGATCGCTTGAACCTGGGAGGTGGTGGTTACGGTGAACAGAGATTCCGTCATTGCACTCCAGCCTGGGCAACAAGAGCAAAACTCTGTCTCAAAAAATAACAATAATAATAAAATAAAATAAAAATACTACCCCAAAAGGAAAAATTATGGCTAGTGCCCACATTTTATTTCATGCAACAAACTTTGCATTATTAACTGAGAGACCACTAACCAGAATATTAAATTACTGTTCCTTATAATAAGACTAAATGTATTTTAAACTTTATTGAATAGAGGTAACATCCAGAGTCCTCCTTAAATCGTAATTTTATGTAATAATCTTTGCATATGTGAATGTTAATAAAATGTTCCATAAAAACATTTATAATTATTTATGAGCACTTTATTGGAAAGATTACAGTTAATCCTCATATAATCTTAAAACCTAATAACCATAACTGAAAAAATATTTTAGCAGAAGATGAAAATGGGTAGTTTTTCAACCCTCACCCTGCTCCCTTCTCCTGCTTTTTGGAGTTCCCAGTGTCTTTTTTTTTTTTTTCTTTTTTTTGAGACAGGGTCTCACTCTGTCACCCAGGGTAGAGTACAGTCAGGCCATCTTGGGTCACTGTAGTCTCTGCCTCCCTGGGCTCAAGTTATCCTCCCACCTCAGCCTCTAGAGAAGCTGGGACTATAGGCATGTGCCACCACACCCAGCTAATTTTTGTATTTTTGTAGAAACAGGGTTTCACCATGTTGGCCAGGCTGGTCTCAAACTCCTGAACTCAAGCAATCTGTCTGCCTCGGTTTCCCAAAGTGTTGGGATTACAGGCGTGAGCCACTGTACGAGGCTCCTGGTGTCTATTTTTATATAGTTTATGTTTGTCCCATCTTTATGTCTGTGTGTACCCATTGTTTAGCTCCCACTTACAAGTGAGAACATGCAGTATTTTTCTGTTTCTGCATTAATTCAGGTCTTGTTAGTTTTTAAGTAATTTTTATTGTTTTGTTTTACTTATTTTTAATTTATGATTATTAATTTTTTTTTGAAACAGAGTCTCACTTTGTTGCCCAAGCTAGAGTGCGGTGTGGTGATCTCGGCTCACCACAGCCTATGCCTCCCAGGTCAAGTGATTCTTCTGCCTCAACCTCCTAAGTAGCTGGGATTACAAGTGCCGTCTACCATGCCCGGCTTTTTTTTTTTTTTTTTTTTTTTTTTTGTATTTTTAGTAGAGACTGGATTTCACCATGTTGTCCAGGCTGGTTTTGAACTCCTGACCTCATGCAATCCGCCTGCCTTGGCCCCCACAAAGTGCTGGAATTACGGGTGTGAGCTACAGCACCCAGCCTGTTTTGTTTTATCATAAATGTGTAGAAGAAAATAAAAAGAAGCAGGAGAAAAATAATTAAAATGACCCACAATCCATTTGCCAGATGTATCCATTCTAAACATTTTGGTTTATCTTCCTGAGAAACTTAAATATTTTTAGCTAATTTAAATTTTCAGTTTATTTTATACTTTGCATTTTTAGACCTGGAAATATTCTGAGTGAACCTTTAGTGCAACCTCTTCATTTTACAAATATTGAAATTGTGACTCAGAGAAATAAAATGACTTAAGGAAGGTAATTTTTAAGGAAAAAAGTGCTATTAATATTCATTTTAACATCTTATAGCATATTTTTGTGCTTTCTTCTATAGTATTATATATAATTTTCAGCCATTTCAAAAGCCCCTAGGTGTGCTTTTATCCTTTAAGAATATACAGATATGAAAACTGGTGATACTTAATCTCTTTAAAGTCTTGCAAAGAGTGATTCATTGCCACATTTTTCTCTGTATACATTTCACAAAAACTAATTCATCCTAAGTTAATTATTGATGTTCCAAATAACTACTTTTTTAAAACTATTATTGAACTGAGAGAGTTATAGCTGTAACTGAAAATCAGCTTTTGTCTTTCGCTCAGCATCTCAGATGATTTGAAAACATTCCCTTTCATTATTTTAACCTAGGACAGGGGTCAGCAAACTTTTCTCCAAAGGTCAGATGGTAAATACTTTAGGCTTTGTGGACCGTACAGAATCTGTAGAAACTACTCAACTCTGTTCTTGTAGTGAGAAAGTGGCCATATAGGTAAACGAATGCACATGGCTATATGCCAACAAAACTTTATTTATAATAATGTGTAGTGGATTAGAGTTTGACAACCTCTGACCTAGAAGGTAATGTCCAAGTCCCACAAAAGTCATTTTTTTTCCGTTAAATTCAAAATCATCTTGTAGATTCTTTAGTTTTCAAAGGAATATTTTTCCCTTTTGGGAAAAATAGTTGGCTTGAATTTGCTTTTTGAACATGCAAAACATTAAAAAAGGAAACTTAAACAAAACCATCTCATGAAAGGACTGTCACCAGGGTTTGGTTGAGTGGACTCAGCATGTTGTCCAGGCCTCATTTTTATAGCGTGCTGTCAGCCCAAAGCCCTTTACCCCCAGTGCTCTTGTCCTAGATATTTGAGGAAAGGGTCAGGTGACCCAGCCAGTCCACACAATAAGTCGGATCCATCCAGCCAGTCCGGGTGAATTTATATTCTGTCAGTCCCTTTTACATCAATAGTGCTCTATAAAATGTCAAATGGAGTGCGTTAAATGTTACAGCAATTAAGAAATGACTTTTGGCTAACCATGAGAAAAGCATTAGACAAACCCAAACTGAAGGACATGCTGCAAAATTCCTGACCAGTTTAATTGGGTAGAGTTATGGATGTTGGAAGATCAGTCTCTGTAGCTATGCTATTTCATAAACATTCTCTGAGGTCTTGCCTGCATGTCTCAGTCACTAGGTTAGGCACCAGGGATGCTGTCATAAGTTAAGTATAATCCCTGATGCGAAGTGCCAGAATCCTTGGGTAGAGGATTGCGAGAGGATTTTATTTTCTGTTGGTTTCTACCACAGACATTGAAGGATGCCACAATAACAATGGTGGCTGCAGCCACTCTTGCCTTGGATCTGAGAGAGGCTACCAGTGCGAATGTCCCCGGGGCCTGGTGCTGTCTGAGGATAACCGCACTTGCCAAGGTAGTACATGGGGTGGGGGTGTAGGGGGGCTTGACTCTGCTTTGATTACACTTCTTCCTCCCTCAAGACTCTTTGCCTTCCTCCCCCAAGTTGATCAGAGTTCTTATCTTTCAGAACCATAGCTCTTTGAGCAGTGTGCATCGCTGAATCATCACTCTGGAATAATTTAAAAGAGAAGATCTCTAAGAAAAGATTACCAAAAAACTAACTTTCCTTTGCTGTCTACCTTTGATTTTTGACTACTTTCTATGGTTAGTTGTATGACTAATAACTCATTATGGAAGCATAAGACATTGATGTAGCTCCTCTCTTTTCTAACAGGGTTGAAACTAAGTGAACTAAGTTGAAAGCCCTGTGGAACATATTACTTTCCCCACACTTAGGATAGGAAGGTTAATAATGCTCTGGGAATTATTTTTTGGAAATCTAGTTATTTTGGGGTTTTTTGTTTGTTTGTTTTTTTGAGACAGAGTCTCACTCTGTTGCCCAGGCTGGAATACAGTGGCATGATCTTGGCTCACTGCAACCTCCACCTCCCAGGTTTAAGCGATTCTCCCGCCTCAGCCTCCTGAGTAGCTGGGATTACAGGCATGTGCCACCATGCCCAGCTAATTTTTGTATTTTTAGTAGAGATGGGGTTTCACCATGTTGGCCAGGCTGGTCTCAAACTCCTGACCTTAAGTGATCCGCCCTTTTTGGCCTTCCAAATTGTTGAGGTTACAGGCGTGAACCACCATGCCTGGCCTGGAAATCTAGTTTTTGATGTCCAGAATTTTTATTCATTCATCCAATAAATATGTAATGAGCACCTATTTCTGATTTCTTTACACTATACCATTGTTATGATATGTCTTCATGTATTGGTCTCTGACAGTACTCAAGTATTCTCTTTAGGGTATTTGCAGAGTCTAGAGAAGAACCTGGAAAATGCTAAGGAAAGCAATCTTTTTTATATTAAGGTAAAATGGCGAAATTTATAGTCAGAGTTTATGGTTTCCTGAGCAGTGCAAGGACAATTTGGAAGCCTTTCCCAAGTGCACTAACACTGTTTTTATTGTCTCTGTTTTATGAGGCAATAATTAATGGTAAAGTCACAGCAGCATCGTTATGTACTGTAGGCCTATATCAAAGCAGCACTTTTTCTGTATTGCCAATAAATCGTGTTTGTGCTGAAAGTTAATTTCTTAAGTGTTTCAGTTCACAGACTTATGCTGGCTACGCTTTGAAACCAATGTTTGTTGAATTGAAAGTTAAACCTTGTATTTCCTAATTCAGGGAACCATATATTTGAGGAACATTATTTGACCATGATCTTGGGAGTTAGGAATACTGGTTTTATTCACCAACTTGTTTTCAGCCCCTCTGATTTCCTTGGGGATGGAACAAAAAGCTCAGGTTGTGCGAGGGTGAAAGTATTTCTCCTAGAAGCCTTCCTCCCAATTCAGGTTTCCTGGCTCTAACAGTGGCTCCATTTCTCTGCAGTCCCTGTGTTGTGCAAATCGAATGCCATTGAAATGAGCATCCCCAGGGAGCTGGTTGGTGGCCTGGAGCTCTTCCTGACCAACACCTCCTGCCGAGGAGTGTCAAACGGCACCCACGTCAACATCCTCTTCTCTCTCAAGACATGTGGTACAGTGGTTGATGTAGGTTCCTCCTGGTGGGCATCTGGGGAGCGACCAAAAGCCTGTTATTTGGGAGGTGGTGGACAGAGGTATGCCATGTGACTTGGGTCATCAATGAGATATTTACACACAAAAGATTTGAGCTCAAAACATCTTATGTCATTCATTTAACAAATATGTTATTGCTTACCTGTTGTGGTCCTGGCACTGTGAAGAATTCTGTTATTCCTGTTTTCAAATAGCCCATCTCTCCAGTATGTGCAGACATTTTCCTGAATGCATCAGTACCTGTGGTACTGGGAGGCTGGCTACATCTCCTCTGACCAATTATTTTATTTGAAGAAAGCAATGAATACAGATGACAGTTCATTTATGATGTAGTGAATGAGTTCAAGTATTGAACCAGGTTGAGTGAAAAGGTTTATACTTTCATCCAAAAATCTGCACACAGCCCTGTGCTAGAGAGTTAGGAATGTATGAAATCCTGCCTTTTAGGAACTTGCACAGCAGAACTGAGATGACAACACAGAAAATGTAAGGAAAGGATGAACAGCAAGACTGATGACAGGCCCTGCAGGAGCCCAGTCAAGGGACAAACACAGGAGCAGTCAAGACAAGTGGGACTTGGATCCAGGCGGAAGTGTGTGTGTGGTTTACACAGCAGAGAGGAAAAGAAAGGGCCTTTCAGATGGGAAACAAGTGAGCAAGTCTCCAAGAGGGGATATTTCAGGCCTGTGTGGAGGTGTGTGGAGAGTGCAGCCAGACTGGCCAGGAATTCGTGCTGGAAAATGAAACCGGAAAAGTAGATGGGGCGGGCTGGGCTTCCAAAGACTTGCCTTGTGTGAGAGGGTGAGCCGTTTGGATTTTATCCCACAGAAATGGGGTTAGGCGGGGACTGTGGTGATGAATGCCATGATCTGACAGCAGCTTCCAAGATGGATAGAGCAGAGAGGCCTGCATGTGGATCAGCACGGAGGGCTTTGCAATCATTTGGTTAAACGAATATTTATTTATTACTCTGACTAAATGAAAATCAGAAAGCGGCTGGGGGCGGTGGTTCACGCCTGTAATCCCAGCACTTTGGGAGGCCGAGGCGGGTGGATCACGAGGTCGAGAGATCGAGACCATCCTGGTCAACATGGTGAAACCCCGTCTCTACTAAAAATACAAAAAATTAGTGGCACGTGCCTGTAATCCCAGCTACTCAGGAGGCTGAGGCAGGAGAATTGCCTGAACCCAGGAGGCGGAGGTTGCGGTGAGCCGAGATCGTGCCATTGCACTCCAGCCTGGGTAACAAGAGTGAAACTCTGTCTCAAAAAAAAAAAAAAAAGAAAAGAAAGAAAGAAAATCAGAAAGCTGCTTCGACTTGGAGTGAGACAAGGGGGAGATATTCAAGGAGCAGGTAGTCCCAATTGAGGCAAGTTTTGTCGATCGTATCTGTGGATAATCAAATGGAAATGCCTCATGGTAGTTTGGCGCTATTCTCCCGCACACAGCAGAGCAGAAGAACGCGGTGATAAAGAGCTGAAACCTATCCAGTAAATGTCACAGCCGAAATCCTGTGTGGAAGAGTTTGCACAAGGTCATGCTGCCACAGCATCACCAGATCTAAGACTCTGGAAAAACACATAATGGGCAGAAGCTCTCCTTTTCTGAAATACCAGAGCTTTGGATTTGCTGATTCTGCATAGATCAAGTGTTATGAGTAATACTCCAGAGGAATGTGTGGGCTACCCAAGAGGTACTGTGTAAAACTCTTTTTTTTTTTTTTAAGATGGAATTTTGCTCTTGTTGCCCAGGCTGGAGTCCAATGGTGTGATCTCGGCTCACCGCAACCTCCACCTTCCAGATTCAAGGGATTCTCCTGCCTCAGCCTCTCAAGTAGCTGGAATTACAGGCATGCAACACCACGTCTGGTTAATTTTCGTATATTTAGTAGAGATGGAATTTCACCATGTTGGTAAGGCTGGTCTTGACCTCCTTACCTCAGGTGATCTGCCTGCCTCAGCTTCCCAAAGTGCTGGGATTACAGGTGTGAGCCACTGTGCTGGGCCCCCTACCTTTTTTTGGTATTATTATTATTTTATTATTTATTTAAAAGTACACAAGAAAGAGCTAGGCAGTATAGTACCAATAGTTAGAATATAAAGCCATGTATAATGTGGACTAATTAAGAGGTAGAGACAAGTTCTAAATGAGAGCCATCTGAGTTTAAGCTGCAGTTGATTCTTGTTATTTGCAGTAGTTATGTTCTACAAAGCTGCTGCAAGCAATGAATTAGGGACTACTGAAGCTAATTTCTTTAGCAATTAAGCATTGCTCCTAGGGGAAATCTGGGTTAGGTTCCTGTAATCCTCTCGATACAACATTTTTGTCAACTGACAGTTAACAATCTTGTTCTGTGTGTGTTTCTGTTTAAGGATACCTTATTTAACATACATTATAGATTAATTAACATTGCACTCATGGCCAGCAGCACCACAATGCATGTCTGGAGTGTATCAAACCTGTATTTTCCCATTTTCTCTGTAAGGCACATCATAGCCTCCTGTGCTTACTAAACAGCCCATCTGCACTGCACTCAGGGGTCCCTTTAAACAGCAAAATCACTAAAAAAAGCACAAACATGCAAAAAACATGCCATTCTGTAGATCACAGAGAGGACCTGGCTTACAATATGAGAGCTAAAGCAAGAAGGCGGTGGTGCCTTGTTGGACTTCAGCTGGGAATGTGCCACTGTGCGCCGTTCTGTGAGTAGCCTCAGAAGCATAGTGAGTATGGATTTGGGGGTTACAAATAAATGTTAACTGCTAGGTGAATTCACACATACTAAATCCGTGAATAATGGGCATCAACTGTACATTGTAAACGTGTGGGCTTCGTAGAAGAGATGAATTTTGAATGAGGCATTGAAGGATGGGTAAATGAAGATGCAAATGATGGGTGAGGAGAGATGTCATCCCCTGAATTCTAGTCTCATCACACTCAACCCTTCCTGACCGCAGATCATTTCTTACTCTCATATACCACAGTCTTTGAAGCTGAATCATTTTTTAAAAATTATTTTTAAGTTCAGGGATACACGTGCAGGATGTGCAAATTTGTTACGTAGGTAAATGTGTGTCATGGGGGCTGGTTATACAGATTATTTCATCACCCAGGTATTAAGCCTACTACTCATTAGTTATATTTCCTGCTTCTCTCCCTCCTCCTACCTTCCACTCCCTGAGAGGCGCCAGTGTGTGCTGTTCCCCTTCCCCTCTATGTGTTAGTGTGTTCTTATCATTTAGCTCCCACTCCTAAGTGAGAACATGTGGTATTTGGTTTTCTGTTCCTGTGTTAGTTTGCTAAGGATAATGGCCTCCAGCTCCATCCACATCCCTGCAAAGGACATAATCTCATTCTTTTTTGTGGCTGCATAGTATTCCATGGTATATATATGTACCACATTTCCTTTATCCAGTCTATCACTGATGGGCATTTAGGTTGATTCCATGCCTTTGCTATTGTGAATAGTGCTGCAGTAAACATATGCGTGCATTGCATGTTTCTTTACAATAGGACAATTTATAATCCTTTGGGTATATACCCAGTAACGGGATTGCTGGGTCAAATGGTATTTCTGTCTTCAGGTCTTTGAGGAATCACCATATGGTCTTCCACCACAATGGCTAAACTAATTTACACTCCTACCAACAGTGTAAAAGTATTCATTTTCTTCACAACCTCACCAGCATATTATTTTTTGACTTTTTTTTTTTTTTTGAGGTGGAGTTTCGCTCTTGTTACCCAGGCTGGAGTGCAATGGCGCGACCTTGGCTCACCGCAGCCTCCGCCTCCTTGGTTCAAGCAATTCTCCTGCCTCAGTCTCCTGAGTAGCTGGGATTACAGGCACGCGCCACCATGCCCAGCTAATTTTTAGTATTTTTAGTAGAGACGGGGTTTCACCATGTTGACCAGGATGGTCTCGATCTCTTGACCTCGTGATCCATCCGCCTCGGCCTCCCAAAGTGCTGGGATTACAGGCTTGAGCCACCGTGCCCGGCCATTTTTTGACTTTTTAATGATAGCCATTTTGACTGGTATGAGATGGGATCTCATTGTGGTTTTGATTTGCATTTCTGTAATGATGTTGAGCTTTTTCTTCATACGCTTTTTGGCCACATGTATGTCTTCTTCTGAGAAGTGTCTGCTCATATCCTTTTGCCATTTTAAAATATTTTTTTTCTTATAAATTTGTTTAAGTTCCTTGTAGATGCTGGATATTAATTAGACCTTCATCAGAGAAAAAAAAATTTCTCCCATTCTGTAGGTTGTCTGTTCACTCTGATGATAGTGTCTTTTGCTGTGCAGAAACTCTTTAGTTTAATTAGATCCCATCTGTCAATGTTTGCTTTTATTGCAATTGCTTTTGGCATCTTCATCATGAAATCTTTGCCCATGCCTATGTCTTGAATGGTACTGCCTAGGTTGTCTTCCAGGATTTTTATAGTTTTGGGTTTTACACTTAAACCTTTAATCCATCTTGAGTTAATTTTCATATATGGTATAAGGAAGGTCCAGTTTCAATTTTCTGCATATGGCTAGCCAGTTATCCCAGCACCATTTCCTCATTGCTTGTTTTTGTTAGGTTTGTTGAAGATCAGATAGTTATATGTGTGCTGTCTTATTTCTGGGTTCTCTTTTCTGTTCCATTGATATATGTGTCTCTTCTTGTACCAATACCATGCTGTTGTGGTTACTGTAGCCCCGTAGCATAATTTGAAGTTGGGTAGTGTGATGCCTCCAGCTTTGTTCTTTTGCTTAGGATTGTGTTGGCTATTGAGGCTCTTTTTTAGTTGTTGTTCCATATGAATTTTAAAATAGATTTTTCTAGTCTGCAAAGAATATCAGTGGTAGTTTAATGGGAAAGCATTGAATCTGTAAATTGCTTTGGGCAATATAGTCATTTTAACAATATTGATTCTTTCTATCCATGAGCATGGAATGTTTTTCCATTTGTTTGTGTCATCTTTGATTTA